GAAACACTTGGTACAACTTAATGTACATCATCCAGACAATAACTAGTTTCATCTTAGTTTTAAGTCTGATGATAAGTCCAGTCTGGATGAAGCCATTAGTGCTATGAATAGATGTATCAGTAACATAAGAAATTGGATGATTAGCGATAGGTTACTGATTAACGATGATAAAACTGAGTTGATATTAATAGGAACTAGACAACAATTAGGTATTAAGATCAATGATGTTTGTAATATCTCTGTAGGTGATTATAATATTTATCCTAGTTCCCTGNAAAAAATAATCAAAAAAAAAACAAAGAAAAAAAGATGAAAGAAAAACAAACGTAGTTTAATTACATTAATTATTATGTATTTTTTGTTTGTTTTATACCTTCAAAACAAAAAAAATAATAAAATAAAATAAAATACTTACCGAATAATAAGAGTGTGAAGTTGGTTTTGTGGGGCGGGGGGGGGGGGGGGGGGGGGGGGGGGGGGGGTGGCGGTTGGTACGTTGGACCAGGCTTGACTGTAAAGTAAAAGAACAATGCGGCGCTTATTCGAGGATTATGCAAGAAACACTTGGTACAACTTAATGTACATCATCCAGACAATAACTAGTTTCATCTTAGTTTTAAGTCTGATGATAAGTCCAGTCTGGATGAAGCCATTAGTGCTATGAATAGATGTATCAGTAACATAAGAAATTGGATGATTAGCGATAGGTTACTGATTAACGATGATAAAACTGAGTTGATATTAATAGGAACTAGACAACAATTAGGTATTAAGATCAATGATGTTTGTAATATCTCTGTAGGTGATTATAATATTTATCCTAGTTCCCTGTGTTAGAAATCTAGGTGCATGGTTTGACAATAAGTTGTCAATGTCAACGCATGTTACTAAAATCTGTAATGCCGCGTTCTATCACCTAGATAATATTAGATGGATTAAGAAGTATTTATGTCGCGATTCGTTACTAACGCCTATTCATGCTTTTATCACTAGTCGTTTAGACTATTGTAATGGACTTCTGTATGGCCTTCCTAACTCGCAAATAGCTAAATTGCAACGTGTGCAGAATACTGCGGCTAGACTTATACTGAGCTTAACTAAGTCCTCCCATATTTCTCCCGCGCTTTATCAACTTCACTGGTTACCAGTACAACATCGTGTTCATTTTAAGATCTTAATTTTAACATTTAAAGCTATTCATGGATTGGAGCCTAAGTATATCATAGAACTAATTAACATTAAGCCTAGGTCTATATATAATCTTAGATAAAATCAAAATTTATTGCTAGACCCTCCTAAAGGGAAAATGCTTGTCACGTTAGGTGACAGATCTTTGTCTGCTGCTGCCCCATATTTATGGAATTGTTTGCCGGCTGAATTACGTGATATTCAATCATTGGCTGTTTTAAATTAAAGCTGAAAACTTATTTATTTCGTGCAGCTTTTACAACGTAACCTGTTTGACATTCACTTTATTAGTATTAATAATTAAGTTTATTATCATTATTATAAATATTCTATATCATTATTGTTAATATACATGGTTAATATTCATGTACATGTAATTAGTTTTACAAATTTGGATTTTATTATAGTTTTTTTGAGTTGTTAGTGCTGTTGATCAGTGAATGTAAATAGCGCTCTAGAAAAAAATTTTTAAATTATTATTATTATTATTATCTCAGCAAAAAAGCCAGACATTGTGACTTTAAAAATATTTCTGTTTTACAAATGTTTCTAAATAATTTTTCGTAGTTGTCGTCAGTGATTTATGAAATGTTTAAAATAAACGGCGTATCGGAAACTGTAAAAATGTTATAAACAGTTGGGGGTTTAATCGAATAAGTATGGTGTATATTTTTCCAAATATTTCAGCCCGGTCAGTACAAAGTGCAGAGTGCAGAGTGGGTACAAAATGCAAAATGCAGACTGCAAACTGAGGGAAAAAAACATTTTCCTTTCTTTTTCACACCAATATAATAACTTACGTATTGTCACGCAATCGCCGTCCCAATGTCATCTTCCACGGAAATTCTGGACATATATTTTTTCTTGAAATGGGCCAAAAATATTATATATATTCCAAAGTAGTAGGTTGAAATTCCTATATCGTTGCAAGTAATGCAATCGAGGCAAAGAGGGCTAATTAAAATATAATTATTTTAAAAGGCAATAAATTTCCCCTCATTTCACAGGCGGCCCAAGCTCAACTTGTTGTTTACAATAGACCTTGGCACGGTTTTGGAAGCCGTCTAATGTCGAACAAGTTCCGTAAACGGCTGTTCTGAAATAAACTGAATTGTAAACTAAAGCTTCACTCCTAAGGGATCTACTGAAAAAGAAATTGAGGGCGTTACATGCGCTAGAGATCCCCCCTCTTCCCCCCTAATCAATCTTAGACCAAACTAACAGAAACCTTCCAGCACAGGAACTTCTACTAGTGTCACCCACCAGGCGTGAAGAAATGCCTCATTAAAGGAGAAGCGCTTAGGCTTCCAAGGACTAATTCCTCTCGAACCACATTTGAGGGAAACATAATATTTTTGGCCCATTTCAAGAACAAAAACATGTGTCCTGAATTTCCGTGGAAGATGACCTTGAAACGGTGATGGCGTGACAATAGGTAAGTTATTATATTGGCGAGAAGAAAAACAAACTATTTTTCTCCTCAGTCTGCGTTTTTTACTAGTCTGCAGTCTGCATTCTGCATTTCGTACCCAGTCTACATTTTGTGCCCATTCTGCGGTCTGCATTGTACTGACATTATTTCTGCCAGTTTGGACCGTCATGAACGCGATGGGAACTGGGAATGAGGGGTTTTCAAGAAGAAACAAAGGAGCATGGGAAGCCATGGGAAAGTCGCCATCTTTGCTGATGCGACGTACACATGATGATAGCATTGAGAGGTACGTGTATTTAATAGTTGTACATTTTACGAACCGGATACACAATTGAACTACAGTGAAACCTCTATTAAGCGGACACCTTCGGGACCTTCACAAGTGTCCGCTTTAAAGAGGTTTGTAGAAACGATTAACATTCAACGGTTATTCTGTACTGTGATTATAACTTTGTTTGTAAATGCAAAAACATAACAGAAATCATCAACGATAATAAGCTAAAATACGCGGGGTGCACTGATTTATCTTTATTAATCGACTACAGTAGGTATTTGAAGGACGTAATCTAATACTACTGTGATTGTCGATTTAGCCTGGTGTCCACTTAATAGACGTTTTTAACAAAAGAAATTAGCCAAATACAATAATTATTTCAGTAACCGCGTCCGCTTGATTATAATAGAGGTGTCCGCTGAATAATTTTTGGAACCCGGCTTAGTGTCCACTTAATAGAGGGTGTCCGCTCAATTGGGGGTCCACTTAATTAATAATAGAGGTTTAATTTTAACTGTAATATACTTTTATGTGGAGAAATCAGACATCTTTCGCAATCTTGCCAAGCTGTATTATCAGTGCAAAAACAAAGGATGAATTGATAACAGTAAACGGTAAGCTCGCGTTTAGGTTCCACTGACATCGATTTAATTTAAGCTTAATTTATTTAAACCGCACAAGAAACTGTTAGGTGTAGAAAGCAAACTTTGAAGGCAAAAAGGAAATGTAAAAAAATATTAAGTTTGCTTAAAATTCAATGCTGACTTAACTTATTTGTGTCATGTTGATGTTATGTAACTCTTATTTTTTCTGTGAGTGATGTCACCCTGGCGTGCTTCTTTATATTTCATTTGAGGTTATTGACTCATTACATCTGATCTAAATTCTACATGTATCTGGAGCAGAAGTATTTTCGTTCTTGATCTTTTGTTTTTTTTTCGCTGTGGGCATTCCATTTATAATTTAATAACCAACCCACCTCCACCAAAATGGCAATTACGTTGATGAGGTTTTTTGACATAATTCATGTTAGGGTTTTTGTGTGGGAAACTTATTTCGTTATTACGATCGTAAGAGCAATTTTTGATGCTTTTTGCTTCATGTAAGACATTGTATAATGTTCTGAGCTGGGTTTGTGAATATTAAATGGCATGACCCTGTGTATCATATGAAGCATTTTTTGCACGTCATCATATTGTCTACCATATCTTGTAAACACCTTAGTTTCTTCGGTCTTAAAGCATCAACATGACATCTTGGATAATTTCACCACCCATGCTAGCATGTATCTTTTTTGTGTTTGTTGAAACATGCATAGCATCAAATAGACTCTGTGGTCAGTTTTTAATTATCAGCTTTTTGTTGCAAACTTCACAGCTTTTTGCACATTATGTCAGCCTCGTTGAATTGTGGTTCTTTTGATAGGCATGTTGGGACAGATTATTATTCTAGGGCACCAAAAACAGTTTTGAAAGGTTTTCGAAATGTAAAAAAATGTCACGTTTTTACAGGGCTGTCACTTTAACCTCACTTTGCTTGGTATATGCATTTAATAGGCGGGAATTGAACAAACAGGAAGTGTTTTTTGTCTATTTTCTTGTTCTTATTAGCTAAGGAAATACCCGGACCCCAGCTGTTAGCAACAGTGCTGCTTTTATAGTCTGAAGATAAATATAATATGTTTTTGTAGCTAAAATTTACAAAGCGTTAGTAGCAGTTTTAATAGCATATTTGACTATTATAGAAGAAAATAGTTAAGTGTTTGCACCCACACCCACAGGTAAGAAGGCCTTTAGCCAGGCAGGAAATCTGAAAGTACATGAAAGAATACACACTGGTGAGAAGCCATTTAAGTGCAAGCAATGTGACAAGACCTTCAGTCATGCAGAAAATCTGAAAGTACATGAAAAAACACACACTGGTGAAAAACCATTTAAGTGCAAGCAATGTAAAAAGTCATTTAGCCTTGCAGGAAATCTGAAAAAACATGAAAAAATACACACTGGTGAGAAGCCATTTCAGTGCAAGCATTGTGACAAGGCGTTTAGCGAGGCTGGAAATCTGAAAAGACATGAAAGAATACACACTTGTGAGAAGCCTTTTAAGTGCAAGCAATGTAACAAGGCCTTTAGCCGGGCAGGAAGTCTGAAAGGACATGAAAGAATACACACTGGTGAGAAGCCTTTTAAGTGCAAGCAATGTAACAAGGCCTTTAGCCGGGCAGGAAGTCTGAAAGCACATGAAAGAATACACACTGGTGAGAAGCCTTTTAAGTGCAAGCAATGTAACAAGGCCTTTAGCCGGGCAGGAAGTCTGAAAGCACATGAAAGAATACACACTGGTGAGAAGCCTTTTAAGTGCAAGCAATGTAACAAGGCCTTTAGCCGGGCAGGAAGTCTGAAAGCACATGAAAGAATACACACTGGTGAGAAGCCTTTTAAGTGCAAGCAATGTAACAAGGCCTTTAGCCGGGCAGGAAGTCTGAAAGCACATGAAAGAATACACACTGGTGAGAAGCCTTTTAAGTGCAAGCAATGTAACAAGGCCTTTAGCCGGGCAGGAAGTCTGAAAGCACATGAAAGAATACACACTGGTGAGAAGCCTTTTAAGTGCAAGCAATGTAACAAGGCCTTTAACCAGGCAGGACATCTGAAAAGACATGGAAGAATACATAGTGGTGAGAAGCCGTTTAAGTGCAAGCAATGTAACAAGGCCTTTAGCCGGGCAGAAATTCCGAAAGTACATGAAAGAAGACACACAGGTGAGAAGCCATTTAAGTGCAGGGAATGTAACAAGGCCTTTAGCCAGGCAGGAGATCTGAAAGGACATGAAAGAATACACACTGGTGAGAAGCCTTTTAAGTGCAAGCAATGTAACAAGGCCTTTAGCCGGGCAGGAAGTCTGAAAGCACATGAAAGAATACACACTGGTGAGAAGCCTTTTAAGTGCAAGCAATGTAACAAGGCCTTTAACCAGGCAGGACATCTGAAAAGACATGGAAGAATACATAGTGGTGAGAAGCCGTTTAAGTGCAAGCAATGTAACAAGGCCTTTAGCCGGGCAGAAATTCCGAAAGTACATGAAAGAAGACACACAGGTGAGAAGCCATTTAAGTGCAGGGAATGTAACAAGGCCTTTAGCCAGGCAGGAGATCTAAAAGTACATGAAAGAATACACACTGGTGAGAAGCCTTTTAAGTGCAAGCAATGTAACAAGGCCTTTAGCCAGACAGGAGATCTAAAAGTACATGAAAGAATACACACTGGTGAGAAGCCATTTAAGTGCAAGCATTGTGTCAAGGCGTTTAGCCAAGTAGGAGATCTGAAAAGACATGAAAGAATACACACTGGTGAGAAGCCTTTTAAGTGCAAGCAATGTAACAAGGCCTTTAGCCAGGCAGGAAGTCTCAAAGTACATGAAAGAAGACACACAGGAGAGAAGCCATTTAATTGCAAGCATTGTAACGATGCCTTTAGCCAGGCAGGAGCTCTAAAAGCACATGAAAGAACACACAGTTGTGAGAAACCGTTTAATTGCAAGAAATGTGACAAGGCGTTTCGCTGGCCAGGATATGTGAAAGAACACGAACGAATACACACGGGTGAAAAACTTTTCAAGTGCAATCAGTGTAACAAGGCCTTTTGTTGGAGGCAAGGTCTTAAAGCACACGAAGAAAGACACCGTTGTTGGATTTGTCTTAAGATGATTAAGACCAAGCCGCTGCTTTGTCAACATTATGATGACCATATGAGGTTACTGGACCTAACGTCGTAGATTTAATGAACGTATTCAACATGGTGTGACTTAACTTTGTATAATAATTTATTAATATATCCTTGTAAATTTAAGCTAATCATTTAGCCAGGCAGGAATTCTAAAAGTACATGAAAGAATACACACTGGTGAGAAGCATTTTAAGTGTAAGCAATGTAACAAGGCCTTTAAGTGCAAAGACATGAAAGAATACATAGTGGTGAGAAGCCGTTTAAGTGCAAGCAATGTAACAAGGCCTTTAGCCGGGCAGAAATTCTGAAAGTACATGAAAGAAGACACACATGTGAGAAGCCATGTTCTTCCCAGTTGATAGCATGTTAGAACCGACTGTCAACGCTAAATATGGGGTATCAAAAACGTAGTTGCTTTGTTTCAACTAACGCGAAAATTTAAGGAAAATGTTATTACAAGGCTTTTGTTCAAGGCTTGTAGAAAGTGGAGTGTGAAAAAAGGTTCCACACAAAACTCTGTTTGATATGATGATAGCATTGAGAGGTACGTGTATTTAATAGTTGTACATTTTACGAACCGGATACACAATTGAACTACAGTGAAACCTCTATTAAGCGGACACCTTCGGGACCTTCACAAGTGTCCGCTTTAAAGAGGTTTGTAGAAACGATTAACATTCAACGGTTATTCTGTACTGTGATTATAACTTTGTTTGTAAATGCAAAAACATAACAGAAATCATCAACGATAATAAGCTAAAATACGCGGGGTGCACTGATTTATCTTTATTAATCGACTACAGTAGGTATTTGAAGGACGTAATCTAATACTACTGTGATTGTCGATTTAGCCTGGTGTCCACTTAATAGACGTTTTTAACAAAAGAAATTAGCCAAATACAATAATTATTTCAGTAACCGCGTCCGCTTGATTATAATAGAGGTGTCCGCTGAATAATTTTTGGAACCCGGCTTAGTGTCCACTTAATAGAGGGTGTCCGCTCAATTGGGGGTCCACTTAATTAATAATAGAGGTTTAATTTTAACTGTAATATACTTTTATGTGGAGAAATCAGACATCTTTCGCAATCTTGCCAAGCTGTATTATCAGTGCAAAAACAAAGGATGAATTGATAACAGTAAACGGTAAGCTCGCGTTTAGGTTCCACTGACATCGATTTAATTTAAGCTTAATTTATTTAAACCGCACAAGAAACTGTTAGGTGTAGAAAGCAAACTTTGAAGGCAAAAAGGAAATGTAAAAAAATATTAAGTTTGCTTAAAATTCAATGCTGACTTAACTTATTTGTGTCATGTTGATGTTATGTAACTCTTATTTTTTCTGTGAGTGATGTCACCCTGGCGTGCTTCTTTATATTTCATTTGAGGTTATTGACTCATTACATCTGATCTAAATTCTACATGTATCTGGAGCAGAAGTATTTTCGTTCTTGATCTTTTGTTTTTTTTTCGCTGTGGGCATTCCATTTATAATTTAATAACCAACCCACCTCCACCAAAATGGCAATTACGTTGATGAGGTTTTTTGACATAATTCATGTTAGGGTTTTTGTGTGGGAAACTTATTTCGTTATTACGATCGTAAGAGCAATTTTTGATGCTTTTTGCTTCATGTAAGACATTGTATAATGTTCTGAGCTGGGTTTGTGAATATTAAATGGCATGACCCTGTGTATCATATGAAGCATTTTTTGCACGTCATCATATTGTCTACCATATCTTGTAAACACCTTAGTTTCTTCGGTCTTAAAGCATCAACATGACATCTTGGATAATTTCACCACCCATGCTAGCATGTATCTTTTTTGTGTTTGTTGAAACATGCATAGCATCAAATAGACTCTGTGGTCAGTTTTTAATTATCAGCTTTTTGTTGCAAACTTCACAGCTTTTTGCACATTATGTCAGCCTCGTTGAATTGTGGTTCTTTTGATAGGCATGTTGGGACAGATTATTATTCTAGGGCACCAAAAACAGTTTTGAAAGGTTTTCGAAATGTAAAAAAATGTCACGTTTTTACAGGGCTGTCACTTTAACCTCACTTTGCTTGGTATATGCATTTAATAGGCGGGAATTGAACAAACAGGAAGTGTTTTTTGTCTATTTTCTTGTTCTTATTAGCTAAGGAAATACCCGGACCCCAGCTGTTAGCAACAGTGCTGCTTTTATAGTCTGAAGATAAATATAATATGTTTTTGTAGCTAAAATTTACAAAGCGTTAGTAGCAGTTTTAATAGCATATTTGACTATTATAGAAGAAAATAGTTAAGTGTTTGCACCCACACCCACAGGTAAGAAGGCCTTTAGCCAGGCAGGAAATCTGAAAGTACATGAAAGAATACACACTGGTGAGAAGCCATTTAAGTGCAAGCAATGTGACAAGACCTTCAGTCATGCAGAAAATCTGAAAGTACATGAAAAAACACACACTGGTGAAAAACCATTTAAGTGCAAGCAATGTAAAAAGTCATTTAGCCTTGCAGGAAATCTGAAAAAACATGAAAAAATACACACTGGTGAGAAGCCATTTCAGTGCAAGCATTGTGACAAGGCGTTTAGCGAGGCTGGAAATCTGAAAAGACATGAAAGAATACACACTTGTGAGAAGCCTTTTAAGTGCAAGCAATGTAACAAGGCCTTTAGCCGGGCAGGAAGTCTGAAAGGACATGAAAGAATACACACTGGTGAGAAGCCTTTTAAGTGCAAGCAATGTAACAAGGCCTTTAGCCGGGCAGGAAGTCTGAAAGCACATGAAAGAATACACACTGGTGAGAAGCCTTTTAAGTGCAAGCAATGTAACAAGGCCTTTAGCCGGGCAGGAAGTCTGAAAGCACATGAAAGAATACACACTGGTGAGAAGCCTTTTAAGTGCAAGCAATGTAACAAGGCCTTTAGCCGGGCAGGAAGTCTGAAAGCACATGAAAGAATACACACTGGTGAGAAGCCTTTTAAGTGCAAGCAATGTAACAAGGCCTTTAGCCGGGCAGGAAGTCTGAAAGCACATGAAAGAATACACACTGGTGAGAAGCCTTTTAAGTGCAAGCAATGTAACAAGGCCTTTAGCCGGGCAGGAAGTCTGAAAGCACATGAAAGAATACACACTGGTGAGAAGCCTTTTAAGTGCAAGCAATGTAACAAGGCCTTTAACCAGGCAGGACATCTGAAAAGACATGGAAGAATACATAGTGGTGAGAAGCCGTTTAAGTGCAAGCAATGTAACAAGGCCTTTAGCCGGGCAGAAATTCCGAAAGTACATGAAAGAAGACACACAGGTGAGAAGCCATTTAAGTGCAGGGAATGTAACAAGGCCTTTAGCCAGGCAGGAGATCTGAAAGGACATGAAAGAATACACACTGGTGAGAAGCCTTTTAAGTGCAAGCAATGTAACAAGGCCTTTAGCCGGGCAGGAAGTCTGAAAGCACATGAAAGAATACACACTGGTGAGAAGCCTTTTAAGTGCAAGCAATGTAACAAGGCCTTTAACCAGGCAGGACATCTGAAAAGACATGGAAGAATACATAGTGGTGAGAAGCCGTTTAAGTGCAAGCAATGTAACAAGGCCTTTAGCCGGGCAGAAATTCCGAAAGTACATGAAAGAAGACACACAGGTGAGAAGCCATTTAAGTGCAGGGAATGTAACAAGGCCTTTAGCCAGGCAGGAGATCTAAAAGTACATGAAAGAATACACACTGGTGAGAAGCCTTTTAAGTGCAAGCAATGTAACAAGGCCTTTAGCCAGACAGGAGATCTAAAAGTACATGAAAGAATACACACTGGTGAGAAGCCATTTAAGTGCAAGCATTGTGTCAAGGCGTTTAGCCAAGTAGGAGATCTGAAAAGACATGAAAGAATACACACTGGTGAGAAGCCTTTTAAGTGCAAGCAATGTAACAAGGCCTTTAGCCAGGCAGGAAGTCTCAAAGTACATGAAAGAAGACACACAGGAGAGAAGCCATTTAATTGCAAGCATTGTAACGATGCCTTTAGCCAGGCAGGAGCTCTAAAAGCACATGAAAGAACACACAGTTGTGAGAAACCGTTTAATTGCAAGAAATGTGACAAGGCGTTTCGCTGGCCAGGATATGTGAAAGAACACGAACGAATACACACGGGTGAAAAACTTTTCAAGTGCAATCAGTGTAACAAGGCCTTTTGTTGGAGGCAAGGTCTTAAAGCACACGAAGAAAGACACCGTTGTTGGATTTGTCTTAAGATGATTAAGACCAAGCCGCTGCTTTGTCAACATTATGATGACCATATGAGGTTACTGGACCTAACGTCGTAGATTTAATGAACGTATTCAACATGGTGTGACTTAACTTTGTATAATAATTTATTAATATATCCTTGTAAATTTAAGCTAATCATTTAGCCAGGCAGGAATTCTAAAAGTACATGAAAGAATACACACTGGTGAGAAGCATTTTAAGTGTAAGCAATGTAACAAGGCCTTTAAGTGCAAAGACATGAAAGAATACATAGTGGTGAGAAGCCGTTTAAGTGCAAGCAATGTAACAAGGCCTTTAGCCGGGCAGAAATTCTGAAAGTACATGAAAGAAGACACACATGTGAGAAGCCATGTTCTTCCCAGTTGATAGCATGTTAGAACCGACTGTCAACGCTAAATATGGGGTATCAAAAACGTAGTTGCTTTGTTTCAACTAACGCGAAAATTTAAGGAAAATGTTATTACAAGGCTTTTGTTCAAGGCTTGTAGAAAGTGGAGTGTGAAAAAAGGTTCCACACAAAACTCTGTTTGAGTTTTTTAAAAGTGGCAAGTTTTTTCAAGCAGGAGTCGAACCAGGATTTCTTTTAAGAAAAGTTTAAAAGTTATGCTTTTTATAGCGAATCATTTACACCGTTTACCGCGATTACAAGTTAATTTGTGGTAAGCTCGCGACCCTCGTACGGTGGTAGTTTCAGTGTTAGTTTCTGGTTTGATTGGTGCATTTAGTGGTGGCAGACTGCTTAAACTCTTAAGACACGTTAGCTGTTTTCTGTTAATAGACGCGGAAAGAGTTAACATTTACAGTCTAGCGTCAATTGTTGTGGTTTCGATCATTTGCAAAAAAGTTCAGTTTCAGTTTCTTGTTCAATTTAAAACTTTTAGGGATTGAAGACCCTCAGGAACCTGCTGTTTTGTTTTCGTTGAAAAAAGTAACAAGACAGTTCTTATGGTGTCAATCATTGGCAAAAAGTTTACATTTGGAACTTTTTTGTTTTCGGCTCATATATTTTGTGGCCGCAGCGCAGCGAAGCAAGAGAAACATAAATTGCGGATGTTTTGTACGGGAGACTAGTGGTTTGAAGATATACTGTGTGGTGTGTGAGAACGTTCCCTGTCAACAAGTGGCCTTTAAAGGAAATTTAAAAGTGTAACAAAACGATTTTAGCGATGAGGCCTCACGAAAGTGAGGGTTATTCGTTACTCGCAAAGCAGCTATTTGTGTGGCCTTATCCTTATAATAAGGTGTGTTTTTTGGCATTCCTTATTGACTGTGATAGTGTTGAGGCTGTTCTTTTATCGACCATTTTTCCAGTAACCTCATCAACATAGATGATTATGATCACTGGCGTCATTACATCATTGGTTAATTTTTGAGGCAGCATTGTCGTTAATATTTTTTATATATCTAGGAGCGGTGTTAGGTTTGGAACTTTGACGCTTGAAATTTTTATTTGTACCTTTATCTCGTAGACGTGTCGCTTTCGTGACAAAGGAAAATATTTTTTGTGGTTCCGTTTTTAAATCTCTTTTAGCTTATGTTTATAGTTATGTTCATTTTGTGCAAAAATAGAAAATACAGTGTTTGGTTTGAAGTAAAATGCTCTCTAGACTATTATGTTCTACATATTAAACAGCCTAGAAAGTGTTGACATTTGCGCCACGAGTGTGTATCGGAAATGCGTTTGAGCTGTGTTTCTTTTTTATCGTCAAAGCGTTGCTTATTTTCCTGCCTTCGGCTGTGCAAGCGTTGGATAGTGCTTTTTACCAGACGAATCACTATCCAACGGATAAATATTCGGGGAAACAATTACGTTATGCACTAGAGAGATCTTTGTCCAGTGGATAGCGCTTGAACGCTAGGGCTTAAAGTGATCATTGAATTCACTAAATTAATCCTACAACCTTGGCCGTTGTTTTTACAGTATAAGGAGTCTTAAGCATATATTCTCGGTTAGAAACCCGTCTAGTTCCTGACCCCACCCGAAAAGGCATACGAGACACGCGAGGTTTTTCGTGATAAGGACCTCGAGTATTAGGATCGATTTTCGCCGCTCTCTCGGTCCTCCCCGAGAAGAGACGGCTGGACACGTGAGTAAAAAAGAAACGCCAGCATTATAATCGGATAATTAAATGCATTGATCTCAGTAATGCTAAAACTGCGTGGAGACAACTTAGCAAATTATTCAACCTGGGCAAATCCAAAAATATGCAAAAAAACACATCTGAGGACTTAGAGAAGTTTTACAGTTACTTTAAAAAGTTAAACGCACGAAAACAGCAAAACGAAGAGTACATACTAACAAGATCAGAGGCCTTGGGGCCCCTAGATTATGAAATATCTGAACAGGAAACGGTAACTGCTATCGACCTCTTAAAAACTGGAAAGGCCTCGTGAGTAGATAACATTTTATGCGAGCTGCTCAAACATGGCAAAAAGGCCCTAAAAGGGCCTCTCACAATCCTTTTCAATAAAATCCTAACCAGTGGTAAGTACCCTACCCTGTGGAGTCATGTCCTAATTATACCAATCTTCAAAAAAGATGATCCGTCCAACCCAGAGAATTATAGAGGAATTACTCTCTTATCAGCCATGGGAAAGATTTTTACCTCAATAATGAATAGCAGACTTTGTGACTATCTAATTGAAAAGGGCATAATTACTCCAGAACAATGTGGCTTCCGAAAAAAACATGGTACACAGGACAGTATCTTCATTTTAAAAGCACTAATAGACAAATATGTTAAATCTAAACCCAAGAAATCAAATAACCTTTTATTCACCTGCTTTGTTGACTTTAGTAAAGCATTCGATAGTATCCCCAGAGGGAAACTGTTTCAAAAATTGAAGCTAGCGGGAGTAACGGGGCGCTTCCTTGAGATTTTACATTCAATGTACTCCAATGATAAATCATCTGTGAAAATAGAAAATATGCTAACACCTGCCTTTCGATGCCATACCGGTGTAAAACAAGGTTGCTTGCTCTCGCCAACCCTTTTTAACCTTTATCTCAGTGACCTTTCAGAAGAACTTAAGGCCAAGAACCCAAATGACGTAGAACTAAACGAGTTACCGTTAAGTTGTATGCTCTACGCGGATGACTTGGTCATATTCTCCAAATCAAAAAACGGACTGCAGGATTATTTGGATTCCCTCAGTGAATACTGCAAAGAAAACGACTTGTCGGTTAACCTTAATAAAACTAAGGTGTTAATTTTTAATAACTGCGAGAGAACCATGAATAAGCACGTATTATACTATAGAGGTAGTAAACTTGATAATGTTAGCAATTACAAATATCTTGGCCTACAATTTAGTATTTATGGGACCTTCACGTACGAAAAAAAGGAAATAAAGAAGGTTGCCCTTAAAGCTTTGTACAAAGTCAGGAAGGAAATGGGCGACCATTTCAGAGACGATGTACAGCTCACAATGAAAATTTTTGACACGGTTATTTCCCCAATACTCACCTACGGAAGCGAGGTCTGGGGGGTCGATCACAACGGAAAGCTAGAAAATGATCCAATTGAGTTTGTTCAAACAAAGTTCATTAGGTGGCTATTAGGAGTTAACAAATTCTGTAGTTCAAATGCGTGCAGATCGGAGGTAGGCCGTTTCCCAATGCGAACAAACACAAAGTGCAGAGCCATTAAATATTGGCTGAAATTTTGTGAGCCGGAGCACCAAAATAAACTCTCTGGAATAGCATTTACAGATCAAATTGGTCAAGATAAAAAGGAACTTTGGTCAAGCAAATTAAAACGACTATTAAATCTCGCAGGTCTTGGCGACATATGGTCAGCGAAAACTAACACTCCCGCAACCATGAACTATATACGACAGAGACTCTTACACATAGAACAGCAAACATGGATTAGCGAAATACACAATGATGAACGAAAGGACCCGCATCAAAAAAACAAACTAAGAACTTTTAGGAAATTTAAACTTACCCATGACTACGAAAATTACCTCACAAATGTAAGAAAGATCAATCACAGAGTAGCAATCACAAAGCTAAGATTAAGCAACCACAAACTAGCAATTGAAACTGGACGATACGTTAAACCCTATCAACCACCAGACCAAAGAATCTGTCCATTATGTAAAACTGGATTAGAAGACGAGGGGCATTTTTTGATGAATTGCATAGCCTATAGGGATCCTAGGGGAGAGCTGTTCAATACGCTAAAAAAGGAAACTAATCTTATTCTTGACTCTATGACTCCAAGCTCTGCCTTTGCAACGTTGATAAGTATGAAGCAAGGAGAGAAAACGCAAAAAATTGTGGCTAAATACCACTGAAATACGTATATGATCGCTTCCGCGAAAGAGATAGACGCGTTAAATATAACCTTGTTTAATAGTTGTAAAAATTTTACAAATGTACACCTCTGTAATTATTGCACGAAAATCTTTGTTATCGTTGTAAACACATGTGTCTGTAGGCGCTCTGTTGATAATAAAACACTTATCCTATCCTATCCTGTCCTTATCCTATCCGTGAGTGGCCTATCGTGTCTGTGACGTAAATTCAAAATTTTGATTTATGCGTCGTTACCAAACATCGGAAATGGGAAATGTAATTAAATACCGAACAAATGTTGTTCTCTACTTTATCTTCGCCTTGGTATTTGCCATAAAAATCAGCAGAAACGCGTACGAATTGTATTTACATCGATCTTGCATTACCGATGGACTTGACAGTCGTCTCTTTTACGTTAGCTGTCAACAACCATGGTTGCGGTTGGTTGAACTTTAAAATTATACCTACCATTTGCCAGTTTCTTTAAGCTAATACTTTAAATATTTAAGGTTTTAAGCTTAAAACGCTCTTAAACACGATAGCACGCCACATCAAACAACAAATTTGCATCCTTCGTTTGAAATCTCGTGCTGCAGGAAAATAAATTTATGCTGCCTGCTCGATTTGAGCAGGTAACGATCTGACCCCGGTGTTCGCGAGATGGTTAACCCTTAACCAATGGTTAAAAGTTAACCGAGGGTTAGTTTCGGTTGCTCGAACGCCGGTTAGTGTTAACCATGGGTTTTATTTCTTCTAACCATGCGTTAAATTTAACATACCTCGCTACTAGTGTTAACTTGTTAACCATTGGTTAAAATGACGTTCGCTTCACTTTGTTAGTGGTTGTGTTAGTATAAACTTTGATTTCAGTGCTGCTTGATTTTCTTTAACCTTTGAGCTATATATTTTTGCAATTTCTTGCGCTGAAAAATTTGGTTTTCGTTTCCTGCAGGCGGTTTTATTGACAGCAGGGACTTCAACAGCTTCAAGCTCAAGCAGAGAATTTTCGGCATCCATTTTACTGTTAAAAGTGGACAGAATATAGTAAAAAGGGAGCTTTAGCATCGACGATGGCGAAGGCAGCGAAAATGTCACTTTTAACGTGAATTCGCGCTTTTTCATACTTAAATAATGTCGCGTTTATTCCAATTCGCGGAAAATGTCAAATGTAGGAGAATTTCCCTGGAGTTGATTTCTTGGAGACCGCATTTAAGTTTAGAGAGAGAAAGAAAAGTTTGTTGTCGCCTGTTAACGTCCTCCATAAAAAAAATCAAATTAGGCATTTTCACGTCGTAGTCGTGCAGTGACGGCATAGAAATGTACAAAACAGCGTGATGCGCTTGCAAAGTTGTTGTTTTATTAATCTAAACCTATTCCTCTCTTGACGTTCTCGTTACCGTCGCCGTCGTCGTTGCTATTAGGGACCTTACGATCCGACAACGGCGACGTCCATAAAAACCTCGCTGAAAAATAGACTCCGCATCCTTTCAAACCATTTCGCGATTATCCCAAGTCGCCCAGTTACTTAAAAGAAGGGAATTTATATAAGCGCTGAAGAGAGGGTCCGCACCCGAGTTCAGACAGAGATGGTAGAATTTATCGCCTTGCCGTTCCAGTCCTCAAAAAAGCTTTAAAGTTGCTCATTTCACATCGTAGTCGTGCAGGGACGGCAAATAAATGTACAAAAAAACGTGATGCACGTGCAGAGTTGTTGTTTTGCTAATCTAAACCTATCGCTTTCTGACGTTGCCGTTGCCCTCGCCGTCGTAGTTTCGTAAGGTCCCTAGTAAAAGCTCCCTAAAACTTTTCGTTGGAAAAACTTGTCAAACCTGTTCGGAGATGGTTAAAGTCTGGTATATTTTATAAACCATTGATTAGCTAACAAAGGATTAGCGTTTGCTTAACAGACCTTTGAGCAACGGGAATTTAACCAACATTTAGTTAACCCACGGTTAGCAAATTTAACCAACCGTTACCAACTAACACATGTTTAAATTAACCATCTTTCGAGCAACCGGGGCCTGATTGGTGGTCATTGACAACAGCAAAGTCATGCGTCCAGCCGGCTGTTCAGAGGAGTAGCATGGGCTCATACTGCATTTTGTCTGAGGTCTATATGATAAAAACAACGCCTCATATTACTGTTTCAGATGCGATGTATAAAAAGTATGAAATGTTGGTTTACACGTTCCCAGAGTTGTTGGCAGGTTTTGTTAAGTAAACTTGTCGAACGCAAAAAATTCGGCCTGATTTGTTTTCCAAAAATTCGTTTTCCAGGCCTAATCTACTGTGATCAAGAGCCATTATGGCTCTAAAATGTGATCGAAGATGATTACTATTTTTTTGGGTGTATATATACGGCTATCAATTCGATGTAAGATTTTTTTTTCACTCTAAAATCACTTAGCCTTAGCTTTCCCTTAAAGTTAACTGATTTGTGGATTACAAGTTTAAATTTAAATTAAAGTTTGATTTAAATTATAAATTTATTAATGGGAGCTTCGCTTTTAGCCCTAGCTAAATCTATATATTATGGATTCTGGCCAGAGACCAACCCAAAAGAAGTCTTTTGTCTTGGTGGTGTCACCGCTCAATGCCTTGATCAGGTAACGAAATTAAAGCAGAGTGGTCTGAAAGCGTGTATTTTGAAAGGTGATCACATAGAAGGAGAAGAAGAAGAAAGAAAAGAAGAACAAGAAGGATTGGCACTCAGTGCAATAGAAAACCTGAAGGAGTTTCAGTTAATTTTTGCTCACCCGGAAGCCCTTGTAGGCAACAAAAATGTCATTAAGCTCCTGAAGACTGCAGAGTTTAAAAATGGTATGAAAGCCATCGTTGTGGATGAAGCACATCTCGTTGTTGACTGGTGAGTGCTACATGTATATGTTGTGGTTTATTTTTTTTATCTCAGGTAATTTTTCTTTTTCTTTTGTTGTTGGGTATGGTATTGTATGCCAATGTTTTGAGATAAAAAATTATTACAACATATATATAAATATGATGTTACAGGTCAAATTTGATTTCAGGTTAAATTTTTTAACCTACG